CCCATTTCTTCCTCTATTGAATCCGTCTCTTATCTCTCTGTTTCAGTGTTTTCACTTGATCACTGCCACCATATCCGTGCTACTCGAGGCGTTGTATTATACACTGCCTCAAGTCTTTGAGAGCATGTATGCTCCGGCATACACTGTTCGGCAAATGCACTAGGTAAATCTCGTACTTACGGTCCACGTCTATGCTCAAACCCCTATACTGTGAGCCAACTATCTCTGGTCTCCGCTGCATCTCGTTTTTATTCTTAATGCCAAGTATACGACTTTCCTTTGCTTTAGTCTCCTGTGTGCCAACCACCAAATGCTCTAGTTGGATTTGCTTCGACAAGGCTCACTGTAGACGTCTCTCTTTGATTTTCTATTGTTCCTTTGTGGCTTCCTTGCGATTTTTTTGTCTCAAGTTTACATTATTTCCTTGATTCAATCGTCTTCTATTTGCTGATCTTAGCCTAGTTATACAAAAGTTGTTTTAAAGGGGCGTAACATATAAGCTAAGTGTCAAGAGCATGTGTAATAATATCGAATTCGTAATTCTCAATATTAATAGGCTTAAAATATCAAATTTGTGCCGGTTTCATAATATATCGGTTCAAGTGGGATTACAAATGTATATGGAGAAGAGAGCTGCTGTTTTAGAATGGCAATAGAGTACAACGCTGCAGATTCCCTTATTAGTGTTCGGCATGTGCACCGGGTAATTCTCGGGATTAAGCCTTTACTTCATGAACCATGTTTATGATCAAACCCGTGCGCTGCTGGTCTCTCCCCGTCGCTCTTCTTTTCCCATAGTGCCAAGTCCGAATTATATTCCATAGTCTCTTGTATGACATTCCTCAAATGTAGCTGTTCACTTGCTTTTATATGGATTACTACAAGCATCTTAATTTTCGATTGTCCCTCATTGGTCTCTTCCTTGTGACTCCCTTTTTTCGGGTTCAACACACTTCCTTGATCGTGCTATCTTTTTTTGCTGATCTTATTGTTCCCTTATCTGACATGAGTTTGCCTAATAGATACACAACATCTTTGCTAATCTTGCTTTCTTACAGCCTCCTGTTCATTAGATTTATTTCAGTCAGGATATTAATGGTTTCTAGAATTTTATATTTTCATCATAAGCGGTCAGCCTTTCTATCGCCTTCCAGCCGATTTCGTGTTCCTTGGTTCATCAAGTTTAGGAAGTTCTCTATATTTTTCTTACTATGCTATCAAAGTACAAAGTAGTCATCTATGTATCCATTGAGCACTCTTGTCTGTAGGGGTGATTTCTCGGGTTCATGTTCTAATTTTTCCTTGTAGATATTTACCAGAGGAGGTAAGAGTATGGATATTATTGGTAACCAAAATATTTACTTACTTATTATACCTACAACATCTGTCCTAACATTGTAAAGGCAAAGGATGTAGTACAAATTGGCACTTAGAGCTTGATTAAATTGCGAAAAATGGAAAATATCATATTTTAGTTTTTTTATCTACTTTTTTCTTACCTTCTCTTGATTAGCACCAATAAGGACTCTCAGGCCTTGTTTGACTAATAAACCTCCAATATCAGTCTATGCATCTGCTTTTTAACTATTTATTTTAATAAACCCATCTTTTATAAGGATTTGATGACTGGGACATCGTCACTACAACAGAGGTTCATAGCCACCAGCCGAGAGCAGGCAAGCCTATTGCAACATCTCCGCCCGCAAGTAGTTTGTCTTCTAGTTCAACAGCATCAAACGGCTTTCGAGGGGCTGGAGCGCCTTTTGCTCAATCCTCTGTTCATGCACCGCCTAGGCTCACCTCTTCCTCCTCACTTTTTTCCAGCCTTTCACAACAGTTTGAGCGTACCTTCTCAACTGTTCAGAAAGCGATAGGTATTCATTTAACTTTTCTTGTTTTCAGAAGAGAGCGAATCTCATTCTTCTAATTTATCTTATTTTGAGATAAACTTATTACTAAACCAATATTTGCTTAAATGGTGTTTTGGCTTTGACTTAACTGAGATATTTTTAGTATTTTGGGATCTAGCACTTTGTTGTTTTGCGATAGTTAACTTGAAATTATTAGCAAAACTATGATAATGGCAAAGGCCTTGCATGCCATGGCGGAAAATTCAAATTTATTCAAAAAACATTTGTAAATAGATACAGGCATATCTTACGTTTCGTTTGAGAAAGCGAGTGGAAGGGATTCGTAGATTGGCCTCACCGTATACCTTTGACTTTTGTCTGTTGAATTGTGTGAAGAAGGCCTCGGC